CTCCTCCTTTTTTCCCTTTCTCCCTTTTTCTAAGGCAAAGAAATCCATATAAAGCCCGAATGGCTTCCTTCTCCCTCCCCCGTCTGCATTTTCTGTTTTTGTCCTTTTTCTCCGTCTGTTTTCCCCCTTCGGAGGCGGTCTGAGACGCGGCGGGCGGGTTTGGCTGCGCCCGGCCCGCGTGCGTCCCGCCCCAGGCCGAGCCGGAGTAACGGTCTGTGGGGTTTGGTTGGGGCTGGGTCCTTGCGTTCGATCTGGCCCCTCCGGAGCTTGGTTCTAAACCGGGTCCTGGGACCGACGAGCTTCGCCACAGCCCCGCCCATGCGTCTCCTCCCCGCCGCGTCTCCTGCTCGCCCCCTCCCCCGGCCTTTCCCCCCGCCCCAGCTCCTTGCCATTCCCCCTCTTCCTCTTTGTCCCTCCCCCTCTCGGTCACCAGCGCCCTCCTGAGCGGCATCATCCTGAAAATCTAGCAAGGAGCAAGCACGCCTTCTGGGGCATTCGCTATTGTAGTTAACGACCTGGACCAAAGAGAAAACAAGGTGCATCCCAACTTTGGAGTGGAAAGACGTCCTGTATCTGTGCAAAGGTGGGACGGACTGCTCCTCGTACAGCGACAGAGAGATCGGGCTGGCTTATTAAAGCAGCCCCATGCCCGGTCGATCCTGCTGTGCTACTTGGAAACCCGTTTTTCTTTGTGTTTCTTTATTTAGTCGCTGTTACCCATCTGTGGATATTATGGGGGGGGGGGAATGAAAAGAAAACCACCGCTTCCTATTCATTGTCTGTCGTCATCACTGGCTTCACAGCCTCCAGCACTGGGGATCTGGCAACTTTGAGTGATTCCCAAGACACTGCCCAGAGTGTTTCCCAAGAGAAGTCAGCCGCTTGGGACTAGTAAAATTACCCAAACCGGCTTCCTTCCAGGTTCCCTTCCTGCAAATAATACTGCATTATCCAAGCATTGCAGCTTTCTGATGTCTTTAATACATAAAATGGTACCAGGTTTTCACATTTTTCACAGACCATCATATGTGTAATACGTATACCACCATCGCCGTACCCTCCCCCACCTTTTGCATCTTAAAGAAAAATACTGCATCCAGTGCTTCTGACATTCAGGCCGGTCGTGCTGGCGATTTATTTTTTGGAGCCATTGGAACCAGAGGAATTTACAGCCATGCATACCGGGTGACCCGAAATCTGGAGAGGTATAAAACCTAAGGCAGTGTGTGAAAATTCATATTCACTCCCACAAGGCAAGCACTGCGTCCCCTTCCAGGCTCATGTCACACATTTTCCAGCCGTTCCAGCTACAAGAGGGTGGGTGGATGGAATGGTGGATCCACACTGCTCTTCCCCCAGCACAGGACACATCCATACTCTAGCCAGAGGCTTGAAATAATTTAGCTCAGTTGCATTATTTTTATGCAAACTATGAGGGCATCTAGTATTTTTTAGACTTTGAAAGAGAATGCATTTGAAAATCTTCAGCAAATTCAATATTTATTTGCCTTTTCACTCCATAGCAGAAATCATGTTTAACTTTAGAATGAGAATTAGGGGAGTACAATAAAGCTGGAAAATAATGGGTTTATTCTCTGAGGGCCATGATCTTCTGAGAGGAAATAGAAGCTAATATTTACCCTTCCAGATAAGAAACATAATTTCTGTTCTGAGAAAGATGGGTCATCTTTGGAGAAGAGAAAGCCAGAGTAAGGGGGTTGTTTATTAGTGTGAGCGGGCAGGCTGGGATGATGAGAGGTCAGTGCTTTGACTCAGTGGGTCTTTCAATCAACACGCCGCACAGGTTGGAGGAGGTAAAGCAGGCACGCAGGCTTGCACAGGAATGTCCTGGAGCAGGTTCCTCCCTCTCTATTCCATAGACAAGGTAAGAATTTTCAGAAAGGATTACCTAGATTGCTATTTTGTAACATGATCTACTCCACCTATACAATGTTCCTGAATTTAGTGAGGATTTGGAGGGGGGAAAGGAAAAGACAACTAAATAACTCATCTGTATACTTTTCTTTCTTTCTTTCTTTCTTTCTTTCTTTCTTTCTTTCTTTCTTTCTTTCTTTCTTTCTTTCTTTCTTTCTTTTTTCTTTTTTTCTTTCTTCTTGCTTTCTTGCTTTTTTCTTTCTTTCTTTCTTTCTTTCTTTCTTTCTTTCTTTCTTTCTTTCTTTCTTTCTTTCTTTCTTCTTTTCTTCCTTCCTTCCTTCCTTCCTTCCTTCCTTCCTTTCTTTCTTTCTTTCTTTCTTTCTTTCTTTATTTCTTTCCTTCTTTCTTTC